GGGGGGGGGGGGGGGGGGGGGGGGGGGGAGAGGGGGGAATTTATCGAATCACTGTGATATTTGGGATAGTTCCGATTGTTTATAACATATAATCAGGAATGTTTAGGTCCATTAAGCTATATACGTTTTTTCGCTGTATCGTTTGTTTAGCAAAGCATTTTATGGTGTGAATTACTGACACGTTTTATAAAAATTAATGTTCCCCATTGTAGAAATAGTAGTACGGATCCTCAGCCATGCATCTAAAAATGATAACTTTTCCCCACCAAATCAGGAACTAATTTTCATCCCTCAGTTGCTAATTTTCATATTTATGCATTTCAAATTCACTAAGAGTGGATCCAGGCCTTTTCGGAATTGTCCGACTTGTGCCACAAGCAAGAATATATTATCCCGGATCTTTAACGTTTTTTTAGTGTGAAAAGAGGTAATAAATTCCTCAGTTTTGCTTTACATATTAGCAATAACTAAAATCAACAGCTTTTTGGAATAGAATGAAGCATGCTAAATGTAATTAAGTCAAATTGTTGATGGAGGAATGACTAAAAATTGTATGTGTATGTGGGACGTTGAATGGGAGGAGTTAGAATTGGGTTTTTTGAAGTAAGTTGATGAAAATAGAGGTAATGATTAACTGGTAACTGTTGCGACTAGTCTGAGATTCAAAATCAGAAAGATTCCAGAGATTTTGAGCAAAAAAAAAAATTCAGAACAGATGGCGAAGAAACAATGACCAGTGCATCGGAGAACGGAACCCTGGCCATTTGGGATTTAAACAAACGTACGCTTGCCGGGCAGCTACCAGATGCCCATCGTGGTCCCATCACATCCATACGTTATCTCGATGGTCAACCACTAATGGTTTCTGCTGGCACTGATAATACGCTGAAAACGTGGCTGAACGATATGGGTGATGGTATGCCAAGGCAACTGGTTTTGCTCGAAGGCCATTCCCAGCCGGTGACTGCTGTGAAATTCATCGATAGCGATATGTGGGTGTTTTTTTTTCGTATTTCAGGCATTGTTTGGCACTTTTTTGTTTCTTTTTTTTTTTTTTTTGAATTTTTATTTTTTTAATGGAAGTACACAGTGGGAGGAAGAGGTTGGTTTTTGATGCAACAGGCAGCTTTATCATTTTCCAAAGTTTTAGATCGGCACTAACGCTATAGGTAGCGTGCAAATTGATTCATCCAGTCTCATTAGGTACTCGCTACTGTAGGTGGTCCCAAGGGGGGGGGGACTCCCCCTCCTTCTCTCGGGGCACAGGTACCAGCGTTACAAGAATCTGGGTGTAAAGCTAAGCTGAGCTGATTATCGCATGATTGTAGCATGAAAGTAATATGAAGAACTTAAAAATGAAGGCAAGAATAGAACGAACCATGTAATGCGAGATGTAGAAATATTGCTGGTACAGGAAAAATATGTACGAAAGAATTAAGACGTTTCGGTCCATGAAGTCATATACGTCTTAGCTAAAACTGAAGAAAACTCTTCCGCATCCCCTACCCCTCCGTCGCCCGCTTCCCTTTCCTCCCAGAAGGCCACCCTAGATCCGCTGACGATCATTACTTTACGCTTTCACACTACGTAGGTGGTTGCTTATCAAGAGGAGATTGACTGAAATGCATAAAGTTAAGTCAAAAGTTGAAACACCTCCTGTGTTTGCTGTCGTTGAAAAGCGGAAGGGTCTTGACATTACATCAGCTATAAATATGTTTTTCCAATTGTGCTACCAGCAGCTATTCCATTTTGGCCACTACGGCACTGCCTGGTGGCCAGACGACACTCCTGGTGCCCGTTTCGACTTCTCAAACTCCGAAAAGCAAAATTAATTGGCCAGTGCACCCGCTACCAGTGCGAAGATGCACTTTTTGCTCAGTTCCCCAGGTTTTTCTCGCTGACGGCACTGCTTTTTCCGGCAGATGCTTCCAGCTAAAAGAATTGAGACTGGCCAGAAAGACTGTGAGAAAACATCCCCTTAAAATTTCAACACTCTTGCTTTTCTGGTTCGCGAGTTATCAACTTATTTACCAAAAATTTTCACGTGCCAGTGCGTAAGAACCACACATACCTGGGGACTGAATTTGAAATCGTTTGATTGTACGTGGGCTGGGAACATCCAGTTAAACTTTCAGCGCTCTAGCTTCTCTGGTTCCCGAGTTAGCAACTTACCAAAAACTTTCACGGGTCCTACGTGGGGAACACATGGGCAGAATCGTCCATTTTGGCCATAAGGGCTACATATATGCATGTAAATTAAGTTGCCAAAGGTTCAGCCTTGTAGTTTTTGTAGATCTCGAGATGAAAAATCGGTACAGACCAATACACAGACAACCCTTCGGCAGTATGCTTTTTTGCATTGCATAGATTCAAAAAACGCATAAAAAACGGGTTTATTATGTATGTAATAAAGCAGTATTGTTTTCAGAATTTTGTCTTCTGGTTTGGATGGTTCCGTGCGTGCATTTTCAGTGACACGTGATACGCAACGACAAAAATTAGGAAATGCTGGTATAATGTCCAGGTAAGTTGTCCAGCGTTTCGTTTTTTGTAATTTTTTGTAATTTTACTTCACAAAATCTTCAGCTACAAAGCCCGTTCATTTGTTGTTAGGGCGAAAGCTAAGAAGAAAAAACGCGATATTGAAAGTATTGAACTGAAACCAGTGATACAGATGGATATTGGACTTACACGTGAAGCAGCCTGGGATAATGTCTTATGTCGCCACATGGATACGGCCCCGGTCACCACATGGACCACTAGAAAACAAGCTTTGGGAACACATCGAGTTCGTTTTTTTTTTCGATTGCTTCAAATTATTTTATAATTCTGAGATCCAGTGTGGTATAAATTGATTTCCGCTGAAATTTGGAAGCCTACTATTTTTATCAAATTCAAGTTTTCTCGTATTTTTACCCCTGGAGATATAAATTATTTTGTTACCATAGTCGTCGTACTGACGAGGTCCAATTGTGGTAAAGGTAGAAAATGTATACGACTTAATGGACCGAAACATTTTTTACCTATAACAAATATTTCTTTAGACCCCTTTCTTATCTTAATATCCTTTTCTTCTTTTCTCTGTTTCCCTCTTCTCCTGATATTTTCTTTTCAACCTTTAATATAAAAACCCGCAATCATGTATTTTTTCACTTC